GAGAGCGAGGAAGTCCTCAAGACAGTTGACCCAAGCAGGATCCTCCGTGCAAGGTTCGCCTACAAGGACAAGAACCATGCCAAACGGAAAGTCGACAAGAACATTCCCTGCAAGCCGAAGGCCAGACTGTGCGTCGCAGGGCAGCACGACCCAGACCTTGGCATCTTGGACATGAGTGTAGATGCACCTACAGCAGGAAGGCATAGCATTCTTCTGGCCATCCAACTGGCTCTGTGTCGCGACTGGAGCATCTCGGTTGGTGACATCAGGGCGGCTTTCCTGAACGGTGTCCCTGCGCCCAGACAGCTTTATTTCAGACAACCTCGAGGTGGCATTCCTTCTCTCGACCCGCGTCAGTTGGTGGAGGTTGTGAAGGGCGTGTTTGGCCTGTCCACCAGTCCTAAGCTCTGGTGGATGAAGCTGTCCGGCGACCTCAAAGAGATGGAGTTCGAGTTCGAGAGTGACACCATCCAAGTTGTCCAGAACCCCATCGACCCTTGCGTCTTCATGTTCAGAGGGCGTTCGTCCAGAGCCACAAGAGGTCTCCTGCTCACTCACGTCGACGACCTGATGCTTTTAGCCGAGACCGGCCTCAGACAGGTGGTCGAAAAGAAGCTGCTCCAAAAATTCCCAGTCGACGAATGGCAAACCGGAGACTTCGAGTATGTGGGCAGCGAGTACAAGGTGGAAGACAATCAGGTGTCAATTACTCAGACTAGCTATGTCGAGGGCAGGCTCTCACGTGTGACGGTGCCGACCGATGGCAACATCACCAAAGAACACCTGGAAGAGAACCGCACAGCCATTGGCGCCCTGTCATGGCTTGCAAAACAGACTCGGCCCGACCTGCAGTTCACTGTGTCTCAGGCGCAGAAGAAACAGAATGACCCTTCCATCGATGATCTGAAGGAGGTGAACAAGGCCGTTGACAGTGCCATCCGGCACAAAGAGAAGGGCATCATCCTCCGAAAGATCGACGAGCACACCCTCACCTTCCTGGCATACCATGATGCCGCCTGGGGCAATGCAAATGACCCGTCGCTCGAAGATCCTGAGTGGATGGGCGACCACAAGGTATCGTCCCAGATCGGCACGGTCGTCTTCATGGTCGATGAGCAGTGCCTTGGCAAGAAAGAGGGGCGTTTCAGTCTCGTAGACTGGAAGAGCCGTGGCTGTCACCGCGTCTGCAGATCCACCTTTGCAGGTGAAACCATGGCTTGCAACGAGGCCATGGGTGATGTGATCTACCTCCGGGGCTTGCTCCTCTCCATGGTCCATGGCGAGGTCGTCTCTGAGTCGAAGGCTGGGGAAAAGATGGCAGTGCACTTAGTGACCGATTGCAAGAGCTTGTTCGACCATGTGCACCGGGAAGGGATCCCGAAAGCTCCCACTGAGAAGCGGCTCGCCATTGATCTGGCTAGCCTCCGGCAATGCCTCATGCAAGAGGCACTCCATCAATGGAAGAAGGTCTATGGTGCCAACACTCCCATGGCACCTGAGAAACCTTGCAGGCCGCCGCTTCATTGGCTGCCCACTGGCGCTCAACTCGCCGACATCATGACGAAATGGATGAAGCCCGACAACTGGTGGGACACCCTGAGCGCCGGAGTTTTGCATCTCCCTCTCAAGCTCCAAAAGAGCAATGAGAAGGAGACAGATTTTACAGGAATGTAAGTGAACGTCACTTTGAGTCGCACAACATGTGTTTTTGACTTGGTACATGTCAGCCTTGCGATTCATCGCAACTCTTAGGCTCACGAGTTGGCTCCTTGTAGGAAAACCGGTGCGAGCTGTCCCCACCGGCATGGTCATGACCCCAAGCCTGTTTTGATAATGGGTTCAAGAATCGCCTAGTGGCCGATCGGGACGCCATAGGGGCAGTTGGAATGTTGGCTCATGTTGAGGCTTTCCAGGCAGTGTACATCACTGATGTCCACAGAAACCACCATTTCTCGCCCCTCGGGTTCTAGTCACTGCAGGGATCGCTTCTGAGCAAAACACCTTCTCATATCTTCTCGTCGCAACTCGCTCCAAAACATGGCGAAGCAGCTTTGAAGCCAAACGGCGACCCCCCAAAAAAATGCCAAACGACCACCCCAGTCCCGAATGTGGCCACATTCGGGGCCAACGGAGCCGGAGTTGGTACTTATTGATTGTATGTTGCAATTCAGTATAGACTCTGATCACTCTGATAGTATCAAAAGCACGTGTTTTCACCACCAAAGCGTGTCACATCGTGTCACTCAGCTCAATCCGTGTCCCCCCGTCACGTCACACTTTCTCACCCGACGTCTTCAGCCGCGTTGCCGCCCGCCGGGCCCGGTGGGGAAGGGCATCCTTCCCCGGGCATTGATAATGAATGCATAGACGTCAGCCGCCGGACTTGGGCTCCTGGCTTGGGCTCCTTGAGTTTCATCACCCGAACGAGCTGGAAGGAGCTGGCCAAATAGTAAGCTGTTTTCGTCTTCGTATTCTTGCAATCGGAACGATCCCAAATCCCGCCACAGGGATGGCTGCAACCAAAAAGAATATAATAATCAATAATTAAAGATCCTTTCTTAAGTCACACTACCTCCCTTTTCTTTCTTTGCTCCATCGATGCGGACCCTCGACCGACCCATAGAGTCGAGCAAACCTGTGCAGTAGGGGCAGGACAGGCCAATGCACCGCCACAAACATTCCCCACGTTGGAATATCATTGAATATCATGTTGAATGGTCGAACCCTGCCTCATCGGCTTGTGGAGCGTCCCCGGTTTTGGGCCAAAAGGATGTAATCAAAGCTTTGTAAGGTAGATTTCTATCGGGCTTCCTACCGTCTTGACTGAACCATCTTTAAGGAACACACCCATCATTGAGCCACAAAAAACCCTACAAACTACCAGTCGTAGGGTCCATGTACAGGTTTTGCGTGCTGTCTTTGTGAGTTTCGCCGATTGTGCTGCGCTCTCTCTGAGCGCGGCTGACGGCGTTCAAGGCGTTCGAGGCCGAAACGAAGGTTTTGGTACGGCCACGGTTGTGGCGACATTCAGCACGGCCACTGCTCTGGCGCCTTTCAAGATCTTAACCCGGGATAAGTGCATCATATAGTGGTCCCCATGTCCCACAGCAATTATAAACATGTTTCATGTCATTTGTTTGTTTGCTTCTCACCAATCTTGTATGTAGACACAAATCTGAGTGTGCGGTGAACAATCTGAGCATCCGTGGACCCAGATCATTGCCCAAGCTTGAACCATGGTTAAATCGTTAGAGGGACCACTGCACATGGTGAAGCGAACCAGCATAAACCTCTGGAAAAATCCGAACAGGTTTACGATGATCCAAGTGGCCATAAGCTACGTCAGTTTCTGACCATACTCCAAGTTGCCAAGTTGTGTCAAACCCATTCTGGCCAGTTGAAGAATATCATGAACGCTTCTTCATAGAGACAGAATCACTTTACAAACTTCTTGACGTGCCTGTCTGCTGCTTGTTGTACGGGAATTCATGAGCTACCAGCTACCGTCTATTATTGTCAAAAACAACGGCATGCGTTTAGCGCATCTTGCAATAGTTGAAATGTCAGATTTTTTTTCAGAGGCTGTCGAGAATTTACTCATCTCTTCTCTGACCAAAAAGGTTGGCCTGTAAGTGACTATTGTCTTCCTCTGGGTTGTCCATATGAACAACAGGTCCCATGGACAAAAAACACAGCATCAATTGAGAAATGGGGAACAAGAACTGGATTAAGAACACTCATCCTTCTGGGACTATATCCTGAGGCTGTCAGCAAGTAGCTCGCTGAATGACATCCTCTGCAAGCCGGCGCTGCTTTTGAACAAGTGTCAGAGTAATCCTGCGTCATCCTGCGGCCAAACTACATCCATACAAGCATGCATAATTGTTGTCTCGCACTATAATACTTTCGGTGTTTCTGTCTTGCCCTCTTACCCACGTGCACTCCCTAGTGATCCCATGCTACAGGTGTGAAATAAACACAAAAAGCCCACGAATCGCCTTCATTCAGCTGATCGTTGATCTCGTCGGATTCGGTTTGAACTGCTGGCTCGGCAGGAAACTGGTGCTGTGGCTGAGTAGGTAGGAACTCAATTATGATAGCGAGGTCTCCTTTCCACAACTGGTCCTTGTCCAATGCATGAGCATACCAGTTGTGCATAGTAGTTTCTGCTCCGTCATGTCGACCACTGAGGGTCCAAGGTACAAACCGTGTGTCACTGAAGTGAGCTCAAAGGCACTTCGTTTGCTCAGAGAAAAGCCAACAGACGGCTTTAAGGGTGCTAAGCGCGCAGCCCGGACGAAGGTCACCTGCTCAGACTAAACAGCGCCCAGCTGTGCAGCTTTCCCCATCTTCAGCGCCACTTGTTAGCAGCTGAAAAGATTGGCCTGGCCTCCCGGACGCCGTCCATCCGGACGCGGTGTCCGGTGCTACACACTCGTCGGGCCACACACGCGCCAGTCTGGCGTCTTGCAATCCGGAAAAGCAGATGGGATCCACTCACCGGTTCGAGAGAGTCATGGTATGGAAAAACTGCTAGACTGCTACCGCTACGGGATTTGCCAGCAAATACTGCCTAGGATTTGCCGACCAACAACATTGCTGTTCAAGTTCTGAATTCTTGCGCGTGACCATGTTCCGCTCTCTGTGTCTGTCACACTGACTCTTGTAAGTACCTGCCCCCTGCCTCGTTACTCCTTAGGTAGTTGCAACAACATAACATATGTGGCCATAAAAATTAATTAAGTCATACAATTCATATGAAGCCACCTCCAACATGCGAGCTCACTAACAAAAACTTCACAAAACCAGAAACGTCACAAAAACTATGCCAAAACTGAGGCCGCAAGCCCAAATGGACCCGCAATTCTTTTCACCACAAATTGGGACAGAAGTCGTTCAAGTCTGTTGACAGAAGTGACAGAAGCAATTAAATCGGTGTTAGGGTGCTGTACCTTCCTGCCTCATCTGCTTTTGGCCCTTGTGGAAAGACACCCTCCCCATCACTGGCAGTGCGCCACCGTAGGCACCTGTGTGCGGAATTGGTGGTGCTTCTCCACAGCTAAGGGGTTAAGTCAGCGGCATGCTCAAATGGCCAAACCAAATCCCCCCAAATGCTGCCGGGCCCGCCAAGGCTGAGGGTTTGAAGGCCCAGTGAGTACCACAGAACATGCGACCCGACTCTTGCAAGAATTGATTGTTGACCTCATTTAGTCCAGGCTTCAGTAGAACAAGATCCAACATCAGCTCTGTGACCGTCTGCAGTCACAGCTGATAGCCGTTTGGGCCCTCAAACCAAACATCACCGAAGCACACAAACCAACCAACGAATAAAACTGTAAAGGTGTCATCAGCGTCATCTATTATTAACTGGCTTGCCTGACTTGCCTCTGCGGGAAGATGGGCTGAAGGTCGATCAAGCCACCGGGAAATGCCCACATATATGGTCCCTGCAAATGGCTTATGTATCTTATATCCAACGAGCCGGGAAAGACGGTTGGTACTATGAGTGGCTTTGAACCACTATGAGTGGCGTTTCCACCCACCCTCGGTGGCTGCACCACGTATGATTTGTTGTGCAGAGCGACGCTAAAGGCCGTTCAACGAACGTAGATGTATATTCCGATATACTTGTATGAAAAGGATGTGCAGAAAACCGCTGGCTCTGCTACAGTTCTGCCAGTTCTTCACAAGAACTGGTGAATTCCTCCGGCTGCCTCCCCTCCGACATCCATCCGAAACGAGTTTTGAACTCATCCCAAGTGGCGGTCATGGGTCGATACCTGGTGGGCTACGGAGTGAGAGAGACGTCGACTGGGCATCCGCGTCCGCTGGGTCGACAGTCCGGTGGAGGGGAGCTGGCATCCTTGGCATCCGCCAGGAGTAGTCCTACACGTAGCGTGAAATGAAATCACTCCTAGTAAGGCGTAGCCGACACGAAAAAGTCGGATTTCGAAGTTGTTCATCCTCTGCACATTGGAGCCGATCTTTCATTCCGGAGCAGCCTTTCCCAAGAGATGCCCTGCATGTGGCAAAAAGCTTCCAGGTATGCCCTGTGCCCTGATTTGAGGGGTCATTTTGTAGAGGGTAGCTCAAGGACTTTATGTGGAAAAAAACAGGATCCTGCCCAGCCCAACCTTGGGCGGTGCCAACAAATGGCAACGTCTACAAACTTCTCAGAAATTCATGCTTTATATACACCATCAAATCCCACCATCCACCAAACCCAGAAGCTCCCCTCCCCTCCCAGAAAAAGAAGAACTCACCCATCCCACCCAGCTCATCCACCCTACATCCCTGCAGCTTCAGTCACGCCGAGGGGTACGCCATGGCCATGGCCGGTGGAAACGCCATGGCCCGCGGCGGCCCAACCGGCGCCGCCAATGTGGCGCCCGGCGTCACGGGCTCGGCAAAGGTCCTGCAGATGTTTGCAACACTCATTTCAAGAGATCAAACAACTTCGGAAGGTGGTCAAAGAAAAATAATTACACAAAAAAAAGAAGTACGGTAGTAGTCTAGTCAATTCTCTGCCTGGTGTAACTTTCTGGGAAATCAAAACACCTGAAGGACCTCTATGGTCTATGAACCTCTCCGTTGGCAACATGAAGCAATTGACACCAGCATCTCGGTGCGGCAGTCCAGGGCGCTGGTACCACACTGGGTCTCACCTGCAGAGCCAACTCCGTCGTGCAATAAAGGATGCTTCGACACCATGGTTTACCCTGGCATGAAAGGGTGGGAAATGGGGAGAATGTGTGGTGTGTTTTTCATTATTTTTTCAACCTCTTCAATTTCACAGGTTGAGGTTTTGCATCAACGGACCTTGTTCCGTAGCACATTCATGCAATTTCTGATCGAGGTCCTATTTTAGGCAGACGCCATCGCGGCAGACCGAGGTAACCACACGAAAGCTTGGAACATCGGCATCTTTGGACCAACCAAACGTCCAACCCTGGACCTCCCCGGGCCTCTCCGGAAAGATCCTTCGCCCAACCCCTACTAGGTTGGAGGCCATCGCTAGATATCGCTAGTAGGTTGGAGGCCATCGCTAGTAGGTTGGAGTATAGGTTGGAGGCCATCTCCAGTTCTAGGTTGGAGGCCATCCTATATAGTATATATAGGTAAAAGGGGCAGAGGCGCCGCGGCCTTTAAAGCACCGTCCTGCGTCCTTCCACGCCACACCTCCCGATTCGTCTCCAACCGCTGCACCGAGGCCACGCTGGCGCAGGGCGCGCCGCACGGCACGGCGCCAGCGGGCGGCGCGGTCATGGTTCCGAAGGGCAGCGCGGTGGGGTTCTCCAGGACCCGCATGGTCGGCTGCGGAGAGACCAGCACAGCTGTGGGCCTGTGAAAGGTCAAACGTTGAACTGAAGACGGACACGATCCACTCCCACTCTGTGGGCGTTGATGTGTTGAGTCATTTGAGTCAAGTGATTGAAAGATACCAACTCATTGTCCGACAGCCAGCACCTAAAATCCAAAGATCGTGGATATGCTTTGTTCATAAAACAGGTTCCAAGCAAATCGGGCACCGTCACCAATACTACGCTCACTAAACAATAAAGATTGCCCAACAGACCTGGTCCAACAAAAATGAATCCAGGTCTTTGCGCAATTCTGGTCTGACCTTTTCTAGCGTCATTCTGCTCTGACCAGCAAATCCTCTCGGCCCCAAAAAAGATTGGAAAATGGGGGACGCTTCAACTACGGACGCTTCAACATCGCCGATCAAATCGCTTCAACCGGGCCAACTTGATTAGCCGATCATCGCGGCTACGCACGCCATGCCCAATGCGAACAAGTGGCTGATATCTGCCGGGCGTGCTGGCGGTGTAGGGTGCACCCGTCACCGACCTGTCGAACTGTTTTAAAAGAAAAGAGAGACATCCTATGTTACATCATATATAAAATATACAATATATAGCTGGGCTGTGGGTCTCAAATCACTCTCAACCAAGAATGCTTGATCTGTCTTCAAAGATCTTCAAACCCCAGTTTTGCTGGCTCATGAATCACCCAAATCCAAAGCTGGCTCACCACAATCTCTCGTACCTCGTCACCATGTTGGCTGCAAAGACCTGAGGAGCGGTCAAGACCGCACCAGCCACTGGGGTGGTGGCCGAAGTAGCTGCACGCTGGAGGGTCCTGGCGATTGGGAGAAGCTTCGAAACACCCCGAAGATGTCATGTGACCAAAAAAGGATGTTGGAGTGGAGCCAAAACAAACCAAGGAGCTTGAGAACTCTTAGGCGAAAATTGGCGCCTGTGTGGTATGCATACCTCAGAATGAATGACTATGGGCTGCCCTGTCTGATGTATCAAGGAAAAGGATGCAAAAGGGGAGAAGGGACAAACAACTCTTGGGTGTGGAATGAAATTTAGCTGTTGGAGGGTTCGCAGCAGCCTCAGGAGAACGTTATCTTCGCAAACACAATCACACCTTTGGTCACAATGCATTTGGCAATACAAGTACTGTTAAATATGCTGAACATGTTAATCTTATCAGTTAGCATCACTAGCATATTAAAGTAAAGGATCATGTGCTGTGACAAAGCCAACTTATCAACTTCAATATTATAATGTATTATAATTACCCATGTTAGCATCTGTTCAGTTCGTGGTCGTTTGATCTGCTTTGACTGAGCATCTTCCCCTCCTCAAGACCAACAAAGCCAAAGAATGCGAACCACGAGAAGAAGATCCACATGTGAACATTCTAAAACATCTTCACCAGTGATTGATGTTTCATCTGTTTTAAGATGTTTTAAGATGATATGGCTTTGGGTCATTGCAACCGGACCCCTTAACCTCCTTGGTAGGTTGACCTCAGTCTGTTCATCTTCAGTCAACCCGGATTCCAAGACGCCCGGGTTCCGGGTCGCCCGCTCGCTCCGCTCTTCGGTCGCCCCGCGTTCCACGGTCCCGCTGGGCATGGCCGGCACCACCCCGAGGGACGTGCGCGGTGGAGAGATGACTGGCTGGCTGGGCGACCTGACCGTGGAACGCCCCGTGCCCCGCGTGGGATCAGCCGAGTGAAAACGCGTTCCCTTTCATGTCCCCTAAAACCCGTCAACAGCGAGGAGAACGGCGAACACTTCAACGACCAGTCGTTGTCAGATTCCAGTTTGATGAGATGCTTTCCCCAGCATTTGGTACCCAAAAATCGTGAAGACCGGTCCGGTCATCTTCGGATCCGCACCCTCCATCGCCTAAAGACACTGGGCGGCGACATGGAGGCTGTGGGGGACACGGCCATGGGCGTGCCACCGGGCGCCACTGGGATCGTGGCACTGGCGGGGCGTGCGACCATGTACCTGGGCGGAGCTGGGAGGAGGTTATGCAGACGAAGTCCGTCCGAAGTGATGGAACATGCTGAAAGTGAAGACAATCTTGGAAACCAAATGATTGGATTTAATACAGTAAGTTGGGTCTGGCCTTGATTTATGGTCTTGATTGAATGGTTCCTTGGCCCGTGCTGGTTCCTCACGAATTGCTCTGACTTAGGTTGATGTGAACATGAAGATTCCAGCCAGACCTTGGCCATTGGGCAGTTTCCCAATATCGCCCTCCAATCTCAAGGAATTGAACACATCATATGTCATTTCTGACATTGCTCGTTGTTCTCCCACCTGGCCAGCAAAACCTCACAGCAGATCACAGCAGTTCCTTTTCTCTTTGTTTCTTTACGGTGATAAAATGGGAATGATGAGATCAACATGGATCAACAAGCACGATGTTGACCATGCATGAAAACAATTGAAAACATATGGAAACCACCACTGCGGTCCCTCGCAACAGCCGAGGTTTCTGTGACGTCCGTCCAAAAGAGCACGGTGTGTAGAAGCGCTGCACAGCAGGAACCTGCGCTCGGTCAGCAAGATGGAACATGATCTGTCGAATAGCCAGGCCATTGATACATGAGGCATACTCAGGGTATATACCCAAACTCAGGGTATAAACTTTGGAAGCTTGCAACAAGTCTCCAATTCAGAGCAAGAAAAGAAGAAGATTGGGAAGAACAACTCGTTGCACCAGATCCTTTCCATGAACAACTCGTTGGATTCTCCAAACTTCCGTCCAAAAGCACCGGATCGAGCCTGGAGGGACTTCCCGCTGGGCGCAGCAAAGGACGCCTGAGCCTCAAGGGGACGAATTGTCCACCGGTCAAAACGTTTGTTTTTAAGAAGACAGCCAATTCATCACCTTAATCAGTTCAGCTTGGTTTTTGAGATGTGGAACACTTATGTTCCTGAAATCTTCTCTGAGACGATGATGATGGGAGAAATCGTCTCCTGTCATTCGGAAACCCAAACACTCCATGGGACTGCCATAGGACTGCCGCCCCATTGACCCCCCAAAACCACCACCCCAACTGATTGGCAGTCCTTGTTTGGGACGATCCAATGATTCCATCTCATGGAGTTTTCGCCTCCCTCCCCGAGAGACGCGGGTAGAGACGCATGGAGACGCAGTGAGTCACAACATCGGCTTTCGCTCACTCCGCAGGCGAGTCGCAATGGGCTCCATCACCCTGGGCGGAAAGAGGGGAGTTTGGCAAAGCAAAGCATAGCAAAGCATCTCTCTTAGGTAAAGAAACACGACACAGTAACACGAGATTCAGCCATGCAGGCTGAAAAAGTAATTTAGAATTAAGGTCGGAAACAAACTACACAGCCGCCACACAACAACCTATACACTGTGGAAACCGCGGAATGCCAACTGCTTGATGTGGACATCACTGGATTTCTCAGGTCCCCGGCATGCGGACCTCCGGTGCTGGGCTCGAAGCGCTGTGTGCCTGCGGTGCGGTGGCGTGGAATATCATCGAAAGGAGTGAGTCAGGGGATAGGAAAAGGAACATCCGCACTTCTACCAGATCTGGAATCCCATCTTGGAATCTGGGACAGTTGCATCGGAACCCCGATGGCCCGACCTGTTGATTTCCTTTGCACGTTACGTAAAACGAACTCCAGGGGTCTCATTCTAAGCTCAGGCTCCGAGCATTTGGTGTCTGGACCCCACGTCCACGCTTGCAGCTGGAACAGGGCACTCCCCTAAAAGATGTTCCACATGCAAATGCTGCGTGGAACCACGCTGGTGTCCTGCTAGTCGAATTGAAACGTTCTTGAACTCGAGGAATACTAGGGGCATCGAGAAATTAAGTGAATCTACTGTATCAGGCAACTCACCAAACATCTTATCTCTTTATTGGCAAGAACACCTTTTTTTGACCATCTCCTCATGTGGTGCGCTTGGGATTTTCAAGATGGCCCATCCGCACATTAAAGCTTCAGCATCGATCATGTTCACTGTCTTGGTATGTCTGAAGAGATTGACGCTGACAGCACAAGAGATTGACATCTCCATTCAGCGCCTTCAAGGCAGGCTGGGTCTGCCTGGGCGGAGGCAATCTGGCTCTAGTGGGCTCCCTTTACAGATTGCAGAAGCCTTTTGATTCATGAAAAAGATCTGTAGACCCCAACTCAAAATCGAATTCTCCGCCAAGAACCTTGAAGAAACCGTGGTTGTGGGCCCATGCAAAAAGAGGTTTTAACATCTTTAACTCCAAGAGCCCTCGCATGGTAGACAAAAACAAAGAACTCCTCAAAGAGTGGCTTTGAAAGTTTGCAACTGCAAAGCAGTTCGGGCGGGTGGGGTTATTTTAGGGGAAAGGATTAAAACAGTCTATCGTTCAGCCACCCGCTGTTGGGTCCGTTGTGGACAGACCCTTGGCCAGAGAACTGCACCTGTTGCATACTGCTGGTCCCTAAAGCCCTGTTGAAACATTCCCGTTGTCGACCAACTTCCAAATCGCACCACAGTAGTTCAACTATACATCATAATAAAATAGCAGAAAATATCATACAAACATAGCCTAACTATGATCTTTTGAAGCTGCTGTACTCTGGTGACGACACCTTCCGGTTTCACTTCCACCACCCGGCTCGTCTGAAAACCAGGTGACGACAGCGGCATGCTACGGCCTGGGCGGCATGCGTCTCCGGCGTTTGTGAAGACTCATCGGTCGGTTCGGGTGAAAAGAACACTGCAGTCTGAGAAAGTAACTGAAGTCATCCCGACTTTGTGGTAGCTTGATTCAATGTGTCGCTGAGAAGGATTCTGCCAAAATTTCCAGATGTCTTCTGTCTTTTGTTACAGGTTGGAGGCCATCGCTCTTAGGGTGGAGGCCATCACTAGTAGGTTCCTTTTGCTATTGGGTTGGAGGCCATCCCAGTCTTTTGTTACAGGCTTCAGTCAGCTGGAGCTGGGACCCACTGAGCTGCCTATCCAATCACTGAACACGCATCGGTCGTCACCCTTAAAATGAACGGGGATCGTGATAGGCACTCCAAAAAGCCAAACGAGATTCAGAAAGACCCGACCAAGCCAAAGCATGGCCAGTCCAAACGGACTCGTGCCTGGTCGTTCCCGTGGCCATATTCCCTGTTGAGGAGGGCATAGTGATTGAAGGGAATCCCCTATTCTCGGTCAATCCTCCAGGAAACTGATCACACAAACCTGTCCACCACAGGTTTGTAGAAACACAAGCACTCACATTATAGTCCTTGCCCGATCCACATCCTTCTTGAAGGCCCTTTCTATCCCTTTCTGCTTTTGACTATAGCTTTGTTGCTAGTCGCAGAGACTAAACACGTCCCAAAAAAGCGCTATTCGAATTCCCATTGATATGGTTTTGTGGCTCCTTGGAGCCACGGAGCGAGAGCTATCGATCAACCTAACGTCCACGAGGCTGGCTGCGTTTCACCCAGTGGCTGGAGGGTGGCAGCGTAGCTTCACGCTCAGCCTCCGCCGTCCTGCCCAACACTTGAGGAGGTGTGAACAGGAAAGGATGCACAAACATTCTTGAAGATTTAGTAGGGCAAAAATAATACTCACCCATTATACTTTCAAACCCAAATTCAACGGCATACCTTTGATACAGCATCCAGGGGAACTGGTGCCATCCGATCATGGGGAGTCTGACATGATTTATGTTGGAATGGGCCAGCGAGACGTCGGGTCAGGGGCCTGCCGTTGCGTGAGGCAGGTGAAAGGTTGAAGATTTGGTGTGCCAAAAGCCATCAACGCGCGGTTTTTGGACGTGTCAGTGAGCTTTCTGGGCAAACTTTCCATTCCAATCGATGGAACAGGCTTTCCTCAACCAACTCCGACCAACGAAGATCCCGACTTTCCACCGCTGAACCGCGGGCCGGCTACCCCGCCTGGGCGCTGCCTTGTCTGGAGCGGTGGCCTGGCGAGCGGAAGGCGGTTGGCACCCAAAGCCAATGAAGATGCATGACACCAGGCTAGGAGGACGGATGGGATGCGAATGATGGACACCTGCAACTTGGTATGTTTTCCCCTTGGAGTTCACCCTGTTTCACCTATTCCGGCATCATGTGATCACTCACACCATGTTTCAGCTGCGATGCAAGGGATGCGTCGTCCGGTATGTTGAATGAATTCGTTTCGATCAGAACAATATCTGGAGACCCTTTGGCTGTTTATCGTTGTGCAAGGCGCTTGTGCTTGCTTGGTCCTCACATTTCATCACATAACCAATATCCAGAAGCCCCTCATGATGATGTTCTTAAAACCCATAGTGATCTTGAGGTTGCACGTGAGTGAACTTGAATATACCTTGGTGCCACAAAACGGCCAAGACATGTCAAGACCAAAGGCTTGCTGGACACATCAAACTGCCAAGACACAAGATTTGGAAGTCGGCATACACACACAGTCCTTACCCTTCACACCACCCCCCAGTTCTCAGCCATGCCTCAGCAGAGAGCCCCTTGAATCCTCAGGCGAGAAGAGGAACACAAACAATGCAAGCCTGTATAGAGACTTCTAAATTGAACTCGTCCTTTTTCATCTTCTCATTCTCGGCTCACAGCTTTGATGACATCATCTCAGATACTTCAAGTATAATCAGAGTGGAAAACATGTTCACCACATTTCGCTGAGCAGCGACTGGAGGTCGAAGACTTTGCCTTGGGTTTGGCCTGGCGCAGCGAGCAAAGCAGCAAGCTAGTGGCTGTGCGGCCAGGGACATGGTGGCCATGGCCGCAGGGCTGGGCCGCTCGTTTCCACTGGTAGGTAGGGCCACCAATCACCCTTCAGAGTGCTCTACCAGGTCACGCTTGATAACCTGTTGATTGAAGGAGGATGAAGGAAGAAATGACCGAAAAGCATCTAGAAAGTCACAAAGTCACCCGGCAAAAGTGGATGATGCTCCGGTAACGGTCCCTCAAAAGGATTAAGCCTTTCTCTCGGGAGTGGGGACAACTATCATGCCAAAACAATTCCAACATCTACCTGCTTCGACACATCAACCTGCTTAGACACAACCCGCGTCATCCTCCGCCAGTCGCCTTCGGCGTCTCGCCTGCACGGGAGCAGTTCGATCCAACATGCCCAGGTGAACAGAGTGATTCGCTGCGAGTCTCGATGACCAGGTCTCCATGACTCATGAAGTCGCTAGCAAAGGCCCAGTGGAGCACCTGTTTCTGGGCAAAAAGCACCACTGGCACTCAGACTAGATATTAATGTTAAGCTCACTCAATGGCCAATGGGACTACAACATGGCACCCAAAAATGTGGTGGGATCATTGGTGAACTTGGTTGCTGGGTGGGCGACCACCTCTTTCCCACTACGGCCAGCTTTACCCCACACCCCACTCCCTGTGCTGTTCCAACAACATTAAACAACCTCTCCGAAAGAAAGACTATAGGTGATTTCTCCTGACCAAACCAAAGCCCAAAAAAAAGGCCATGAATGAAAGCTAGCAGCTAGCATAGACTCAAGCTTTAAAGGACCGAACTGCTCCACCTACAAAAGACTTTTGTCCACACGCATTTTCCAAGCTGATCTGTAGAAACACCTGCCAAGCCCTTCCCCACCGTCCTACCGTCCCTGCGCTTTTGCCCGCACACGTCCCCCCACGCGCGATTGCCATCGCATGCGAACCTCGCGACTCAGGGCGGCTCTCAGGTCGGCTTTCTGACTGCCTCACAGGCTCTGCAGTACTCGGCACTGAGGCCACAAAGTGGTTGTGCACAGGGTTTGTCAAAACCTGTGTCGCGACATGACTGATCCGAATTCTGCGTTTGCCCCAACTGTTGAAATCAAGCATCCAGTTAGTCCATGTTTGTCCTTTTACCCTTCGCTCGCACGTTTTTTTCACGCTGGCGCTCGGCCGGCGCCGGTCCGAAAGATGGGTCAATTCACTGGCGCCAGGTGGGCATTTCAATGCAGTCCAAGTCTATAGTCTAAGAGGCCTATTAAACCCAAATACAACCCAAATACACACTGTGTTGATATATGTGTTGCCACATTTACAAACATGTTGATTCAGCTTGCACAAGGAACGGTGAGTTCCTTTCATTTATGGCCGAACTTCACCCTTGTACAACCAGAATATGGAGCAGACTAGTTCTAGAACCAGTCCTGAGAAATCTAAAACCAAACTTTTCTAACATGTCGCAAGTACCAGTAACTTTAGACCAGTAACTTAATGTAGACAGTGCAGACTCTTGATCAATAAAGACCCCCAACCTCTTCTACCGTGCTCGTTTCGGATTCCGCCCAAGGAACATCCCCGGGTGGGGCGAATTACTATTTTAACTCTTTATAGAAAGACATTGTCTCTCTCCTACTAGTAGCGATGCCCTTCTTACTATAGCTTCTTGCTCCTAGTAGTAGTGGCCTCCAACCTAATAGCGATGGCCTCGTAGCTTCTAGGAGGCAATCGCAAGTAGGTTGGAGGCCATCAAGAAGCTATTTACAGTGGTTTCAGAGTAGATGGCACAGCATCTAAAATGTCCGATGGGGTCCCATATAAACCACCTCTTGGTGCCATCTACTCTGAATCCACGACGATCACGACTCATCAGCCCAAGAGTCCCGAAGCCCACCCGCGGTGACCCGCGGCGCCGCGACGCAACGCACATACCGCTGAGTGTCCCAGGCTTGGACCCACTCCTCGCCTGAGCGAAGAAAAAAACGAAGAAGGACGAGTCACGAGTCGGTCGTGTTGTTGGACGAATCTAAGGTGGACATGGTCAAAGGTGGCAGTAATGTTTGTAATTTTGTAGTATTATTTGTCAAAGGACCATGGTGTTTTTTGATCTTGTCATGGTACCATGACACCATGAAAAGATGTTTGTCTTGAATCATGCCGCGTGGACGAAAGCTGTTTCGACTTCGGGTTTGGGGGGGAACGCTATGTTGCTCTCAAGATAAGAACATGACATATATAAGAACCATAATTAAGAACCACGTTCACGGATAAATTGAAGGTCAGCATGTGTTGGACATGGTTCACTTCTCTTTTTCCTGAGACAAACGTGTCACGTCAACAGAGAGGGAGGCTACGAGTCAACACCCGTACATCCGGGACCTCATGCGCCATGCATCCAGTCAACCGGATCCTCCCGTGTCACCCAAGACCAAAGCACGTCTAGAGGGATGTCTGCATGCATAACTCAGATGTCTCATGATAACTCAGCTGTTTATTTGCTCGGATTATTTGTTATGATCCGTGATGGAAGAAAGAATCAAGACACAGAATGTCTCATTGCGCAGAATGTCTGATGGCCATTCCGGCGCTGGATGTCATGTCCCTCCAGGATGAGGCAGGATGAAGCAGCAAGCCCATCCATACATATCCACACTACTTCCCCCAGCAATGTTGGAGCACTTCACCTCGCTGGTCTATTCCTCACCTCGCTGGTCAGATCACTCAACTCACTGGTCCTCATGTTGTCGCAATGTCCGGAAGATCCCCTGACCCGACTCCCACCACTCCCGACTTGGCCAAGTCACCGAATTGCCGGCCGAGGGTAACGAGCCGGTCCTACTCTTCGGCCTGGCACCGGATGAGGAGATCCGACCGGTTCGATCAAAACAGTCAAATCCCTGCACTCTGGAGGCCTTGTCAAGGCTTGGGGCTTGGAAAGCCATCTTCAAAGGAATTTCAACTTCATGTCACTGCCTTCTCAAAAAAAAGAACTCCATTCTTTTAGTTCGCCACTAGTTTTGAAAGATGTCTTTCACCAACCTCACCTCGCCAACCTCAACCAACCCTCCGTTCTGTCTCCCCACCTGGGCGCCGTGGCCTTCGCCGGCGCCGCCTTGGGCGCCGCCTTGGGCTTCGCCTCCGGCGCCGCGGCAGGCGCGGCAGGCGCCGGCCGCGCCGGCGCCGGCGCCTTGGGCGGTGGAGCCTTAGGCTCTGGCTTCGGCTTGGCCGCGGCCTGTGACAGTGACATGCTGCATGCTGTGACAGGCTGGTGACTGGTAGGAGGTTCATAGTGGAGATTCTGACCTGGTTGGTTGGTACCGTATATCTGATGTGATATTGAAGTGCTTATAGAACCAGTCAGGTCATTGTTGAGCTACGTGTCTACGTGAGTTATCTCTTACAGTAAGGCTTCAGGCTTGAGCAATTTTGCCTTTCATTCTCTATCTATTGACTGCACTCATCTCTTGGTGTCAGGACTCCGGCAAGTCTGCGCCTTCTTTGCTGCGGGCTTGGGTGCCGGTGCAGAGGGAGGCGCCTTCGGCCTGCAGATGAAACATATCATATCTGCAAAGGGCTGAGTTCTTCTAGCTTGAATGATACACTTTACTGAACCAGAACAAGATAGAACAAGCTTCAAACATGTTTCAAAGAAAGAAACCCATACCCATACGATAGATGTGAGTCTATTTTCATGCGCTTTTGCTTGGAGAAATCCTCTCAAGCCCAGTTGGCCCACAAGCCTCGTGGAGGGCGCCCCACGACCAGTGCCGCTGGCCCTTCCTCGGCCCGCCTTAGGAAGTCTGACAGTCTTTTCATGATGTTTCATGGCATTTGGCCAATTATTTCGTCGCAGTTCATGCCATTTCGTGGCGCAAATAGAAATCAGCTTGGAAAACGTCGCTTTCTTGTTCCGCCAGGTCTTTTCTCCATCGCTCAAGCCGGTATAGGCAAAGGCCCATCTCGCTGAATTAAACAATTCGCCGACCAGAAATAGGGAGCCACACGAAAGGATCTCTTTGTTCCGTGTTCAACCCCTATATCTGGTCCATGTCGATATCTGTGTACAAAGTGGATGCCAGGAATCCATGCAGAAAACCCACATATCTTACCTGCATTGGTGCCAGTGCCCGTCTACCATCAAAGCAGGGCCTCCTCCGTTTTTCGGGCTCAACAAAAGGAGCTCATCAACAAGAACCCAAATCGAATCTGGCACAAAAGGGATGTCTTGCGAGGTGCGCAGCCTGTCGGGTCTGGCGCAGCCTGTCGTGCCTTGAGCTCAGAGGTCAGGATCCACGCGATCCGCGATCCACGTTCGCTCGCCCAACGCCCTGGGGGTTGCTTCGCGGTTGGTTCGCCTGGGAGAGACCGTCACCCAATCCGTCCAGACCCTCCTGGTGGCAAGCTGTATTGACGTGTTCCTACCAAAACAACACCGCCGAGCCTGGTTTGGGGGCATTTTCTCAGATGAAAGTGAGTTACCATGTCACACACACACTTTGCATGTCGATTGATCATGGTTGATCCTCCTTAAGGCCCTTAAGGCTACTGCTTTATCTGCTTTCCGGTGTTTTACCATCACATTCGACATGTCAGCCCACTGCATGCTCATGGGCCCACACAACGATCTCTGGAGCCCAACAAATCTGATGACCTTTGGCTTTGGTACTCATTCCGCATGAATGTAAAGTCAAGTCTGTGCTACAGGGCGCCAGTAAAGGGCAGCCCTCTAGGGTCACAAGCTGTCTCTAGAAGTCTACAGCGCCAGTCTCTGTGCCAAGTGGCCACGCCACGGCTAAACGCCAACGGTGCAAACGGTTCTTCCGCGTTTCACACGAGGACCACTTCAGGAGCCAAGACCTCGTCCGGACGAGGTTTTTCGGTGTCGCACCGGCCGGTATACTTCGGCCGTGTGTAGACGGGATGGGGTTGGTGGAGTAGCTCTGGCAACGATACCCAGAGCTAAAGACTGCATGGTATATTCTGAAGAAGGAGGCTTAGACTCTTAGACAGGCCTGAAAATTGCCTGCCTCTTCCACTGCTTGGACTACTTGCGACGACTTCTGGTTTGTCCCAGTCGCCGACACCGTGGCCAGCGCGTAGCCCGGCAGCGTCAGCGAGAGGCACAGCACGTCACTGCGATCCCACGCGACGTGCAGTGGCCGTGGAGCAACGTGCCTGGAGGTGGCCGGATGATGCGGGGCCAAAGCGGTTGATGGCCAGAGCTCCCCAACCTGATGCGGTTGGTGGATGGGACATGGCACCTAAATGGAAGATCGAGATGAGACAACTTCTTCCAAGCCTTGGAGCGAACAGGTCGAACCGGTTTCCAGGCGTTTCACCTGATCTGATTCAACGGGACCAACGTGGCGCACGGTCTCTCGCCGTCCTGGGATCTTCCGGGCCGTTCAGCGCGCGGAGCGAGCCCGCGAGGACCTCCGCGGAGAGGTCGGCGGTGCTGTGGGGCCACCTCTCCGGTCGTGCCATGGCCGGTGTGGTCGGTCCGGGGGTTCTGGAAGACATTGGGTTCAAGTTCCTGAGTAGTAACTGTGAAGTGAGAGGTTCAAAGAAATACACTCTGCAACTGGGTCCTGAAATTGGAACTTTTGGTGAACCCCCGACCAAAAGGTTGGAACCTTCTTTTGGTCAAGTTCCTGAATTGGGTTCCTGAAACAACTGTAGAACCTTCTTTTGGTGAAGTGAGAAGTTCAAGAGCATGACCCTTCAGGGCTTTGGAGCTTTTGAGGAGCACAACGACTAGGCCTTCTACAGTAGCTTCTACTGTTGAGTTAAACATATGTTAAATCACTTGAGAAAGATTCGTTGAACGTTCTGCACCAGGGATTGGACTGAAAAAGTTATTCAGGTGCGAAAATTCCTCCACTCCAGGACTCCTGCAAACACTCCCTCCTTTCCACCTCCACTGTGCCGGACTGGAAACAGGCCAAATGTTTCGGCATAACCGAGGTCTGCATTGAACATTGGCGTAACTGTTTGAGAGAAACTGCAATCAGCGGAGTGAAGGACAGCTACGCCGCTACGCGATGCTACACGATGCCAAGCGTCTGGAAAGTCTTCAGTTCCACCTTCAAGATATCCCGAACTGGATTTATTGTTACCTTGTCTTTGTCAAAAACATCCGGCGTATCGTGTCGAAAGGCATTCCAGAGCCCGAAAGTTCAACATACGCAAACCCCCGACTAGAACCTGACCGGTGAACCGGTGTACCCACCCAAATGAACTGAGTAGCTCATAGTCAACCTCGCCTTTTTGAAGCTTCACACTTCTTCCCTTCAAGACTCGGCAACTGGGATGTATAAACCTGAACCACATGATGCGACGTGCAAAGAGTTCTTCTCGACCAAACACCAAAAAGAGCAACGAGCAGTTCCTTCCCTCCGTCTACCGCGGCCTCAAAGTGACGTTCACTTCTTGATCTCGACCTGCGAAGAGCTCCGGCGAGTCGGATCTATCCACAGGGAGTTGCTTGCTTTCGGGGCTGCACAACCAGATCTTGTGGAGTTCTTTTTCGGATACCAATTGCAGAACAAACCCCAATGCATCCGAATCAATTGTGTCAATCTGTGGAGACCCTGAGAACATTCGAGTGATTGATCCTAATTTTAACCTTGTACCTGATAAAGCATTGCTAGACGCAATTATAGTCACGGACGGCCTGTAGGCAGAGATTTTTCTGCTTACTGCAGGCGCTTTTTGGCCTATTTTGACCACTTTCGAGGAGGGTAGATATAAGCATGTTTTGGGCCACCCCCCAGTAAGCAGAAAGATGTCTGAGTGGGTTTGTTGACACGTTCTTGGGACCAAATTTTCTGCTTACTGCAGTCCTCATTCCTGCATCAGTTCTCTTGTACATGTGCTTGGTGCAATTTCCCCGCCGGTCAGCACCAGTGGCAGTTGTAGGAGAACAAAAGATGCATATTTATGTGGAGACTGTCCATCTACATATACAATAAGCGCAAAAGTCTACAATAATTACATGTGTCTCCTGGGGAGTTGCCGCGCACAGCTCACAAAAACATAAATACATACATACATTCATACATACATACATACATGCATACAGTGTACAAAGGTCATGAGAGGGGATTTAGGAATTCAATTTACACAGCAGGGTTGCCAGCGATGTCGGTCCCGAGTCCGGCATTGGTGGAGCACCAACGATGGGCCAAAGTTGGAATCTCGCATGTGGGGGATGCTCATGCAGATTCCCTCTTGTGGCAGTCGCGGTGCATTGGTTCCTCAAGCATGTTCAGCGGCTGTGGATATCCTGAAAGGGCACTGCAGTATATAGATGTGGCAAGGCGGGAAGTCATGTCTGCTGCAGTACCATTGACGGAAACTTGGCATAGCAGAAAGAGGGGGAGAGGGACTGCAATAAGCAGAGCTGGAATCTGCTTACTGCAGTGTTGTAGGGGACAGGGAACTGCAGTAAGCAGATTCCAGATCTGCTTACTGCAGTGGGCACACTAAACCTACCTGCCTAAGTGTCTCATTGCAAGCCTGTGGGTTCAAGGGGATTCAGAAAGTGAAACATATACCTTTAGGAGACCCAATGCCTTCCGCGACCGCGCAGCCATCTGCTGGCGGCGAAAAGCAGAAAACCTTGGCAGAGATGGATCAGCCATGGGACCATGCAGTGTTTCGGAAACCGCCCACCGGCGCAGCCAGATGGGGAACTTGCCAGAAGTGGATCTACAGGACACATCCGAAGGCAAGGGTGGGTTTGTTTCACCCGCTGCACTCCAGCTATCCACCAGAAGCTGGTGAGCTGTCCGGGCAACGGGTATCCATCGTATTCTATGACGGGAAGGCGGCAGAACGGGGATCCACTTGGACCACTGGGATACGCCACCCGACAAAACATTCAAGGAGGTGGCCAAAGCCAAGGGAAAGTGGACGGGCTTCACATTCTTCCAGAAAAAATTGGAAGAGAATGGCCCTGACACTGGCCCCAACCAAGCTGAGCATGCACCAGATGGCGGCAGCCCTGCTCACCATCCGGCACCTGTGGGTGAGGACAGCCCATTGGTTGATGATGGGTTTGAGCTTGTGAGCCCAATTTCAAGTTAGACACAATGCTGTATAGTATGCATAGTTGTCAGGTCCGTGGCGGTGCATGATGTCTCTGCCCTGCCTGGGTTGCAATTTGCCTAGATGCGAGCTGCGAGATCGCTCAAGCAGTCAGATTGGGGGAAAAACTGCAGCAAACAGACTGTTTTTCTACTTACTGCTCCTTCACGCTGCTAAAACATGTCTGATCCGTTGGAAACGGGGAGATGTCTTTGGAAGTTGTACATTTGGAATCCAAACTGCTCAATTGTATAGATTTCCAACGGTTCAGAACCACAGCTGTTGTGCACAGATTGTTTAGCCTGAGCAACCAATCAAGTTCATGATCTAAAGAAATAGGCCTTACTGGTGTGCATGTGCAAAAAAACATTCTATTCCGCAAATCCTCTGAACAACAGCCACTGCAGTAAGCAGATCCCAATCAGCTTACTGGGGGTCAAGCC